AAGAAGTAGTGAAAGTCCATATGGCATGTATCTCCTTAGTATCCAGTGAGGCATGGTGTTGGAGCTTTTTTTTAGTATCCATGTGAGATACAGCATTAGAGAGTGACACTCTTTAGCATCAGTAATGCAGTGTTAGAGTAACGACGACCTCATTTGCGTGCAATAAGGGGAGACCATAGTTTGAAAGTGGGATATGACACCTTTAGCCAGGTGATCTTAACATTGAAGGTGAACTCGGATCATTGTGAATCTGCACTTGGTTCATAAGCCTATGGTCTTAGTCGGAGTGATATGGAGGCTCAAATAGTAGAATGATCATGCCAATGGTAAATGACTTGTGTTATGAAAAGGATTTATTGAATATGTCAAACTAAAAATATACATTTACTATAGAAAATATTATGTTGTAATATGCTAAAAGTGTGTATTGGTGCTTAATAACTTTACTCCCATATATGGTTGTACATATTAATTAATAGTAGTGAATTATTTTGTTATTGAGATATTTATCTTACCCCGTGATTATATTTTACAGGTGAGGGCTTCGATAAGGGCAAGGGGGAAGGAAGAGGAAACTAAAGAGTGAAGAGCTCGCTTGTGTAGCTCTTTTCCTTGTTATTTTAGTTTGTAACGAATATGCCATAGATATTATATCAACTTAGGCTCATGATATTGTTTTGGTATCACTTGTATGAGGATTTGTGATATGTGTACATATCATGGCCTAAGATTGATGCTATTATGATTGAATGAGTGTGTTCGGCTAAGATACAATTATAAGTAATATAATTGTGATGATTTATGTGTAAATATGACCAAAATAATATTTATGTTAAGTTTTATCCATCCCTTTGTGTTGTTGTGAATTGGGAGTTTGGTAGTCATTTTGAGTATGTTTAATTATTTGTGTGATATAAATGGTTATGTGTGTTGTGTGTGATTCATTTGATGTGGTCAAAGTGATTTTAAAGCTAATAACATTTGGTAATGTGTTTTAGATACCTTGGAAAGCATTTTGAGGTCAAAACAAACCATTTTGGGTTTGAGTTTTTATCTTTTTAATGGATGATTATTTGAGTGTGAGACCAGTGCCATTAGTTAGAGGGCTCAAAGAATTTTATGTGAACACTTAAATCACTCAAATCGAATATCAGATGGTGAAACAACATGCTTTGGAAGTTCGAAGTGCTATCATGACAGCAATCTACTATCATGATAGTAGGTGCACATGGCGACGCAACTGCACAAATGCCCATTGAGGGACTCGTCCCTCTGTGCCATCCACTGCAATGGACAAGCCAGATTTTGAAAAATTTTCAAATTGTATTAGCTTGTTTTTAAATGCTGTTTGATTTTTATGATTCTGTTATCATATTTGATTGATTTTAAACTTTAATTTGAACTCAAACAATATTTTAAAAAGAATTTTCTTAGAATCCTATTATTTTAAACTATTTCCTTTTTAATCCTTGGGTTGTGATAACTTTTATTTAGAATTTTATTTAATCCTGATTATCACAACGGCGTGTAAATGTGTTGTCTTGGTAATGTCAAGGCAGACATTACATGCTTCACTCTAAGATGCGGTTCTTTCACCCATATATGCTCATTTAACATCCCAAAGACTCAAATTACTAACTAATCATCTAAATTTTTAATCATTTGCTAATTACTAATTCACCTTTTTTTAGTAGCTAATTACAAGATTAGAAAATCAGAATGTTACATTCTTATTTTGATGTACAAGATACAATTAAGGTAGCTTCTATTTATAGATATAAATATATCAATTAAAGTAAATAAAATATATAAGATAATAATAATTGAAAGATATTTAGTAACTAAAAAAATATTGGAGAATTTAAGATAATAGACATTCACATAATATCATAATATTCATAACAAAAGCTCATTAATTTTGTCTAAAAATTCAACAAGTTTTTAATTTTATTTCTATTAAATATACATACTTTAAAAATAAAATATTCTAGCTTTAAATAACCTTCCTAGCATCTAATATAAGCAAAAGAATAAAAATATATACAATAATCACTAAGATGTATTATAAACAAGATTAAAACAAATATTCTCTCTCAATCCTATAAATAAAACTAAAAAAGTAGTAAAATAAATGTAGGCATATTATATTATGTACATATAATACTTCTAAGTATATTTGTATAAATAATAGGATGTAGTGTGGCTTTATGTTAACAAAAAAAAATATTAGGGTACAGTCGAAATTGCATCACACTACCATATACTTAGCATTTGAGATTTTGAGGGACTGGGGCGCGGGGCATAGCATCACACTACCATGTATTTAGTATTTGAGGGGCTAGGGTGGGGGGGCCGTCAAGCGTAGATCCGCCCCCGCTCATCCTCTTTACATAAAATAACATTCAACTGCTAATAATTGTCAAATAAAACCTAAAACAATTATATATCCATGAAAAAGTCTATTTTAAGGTTGTGTAAATATTTGATCCTTCATACTAAATATATAAAAAAAATATTTTGTTTGAAGGCATTTTTTTGTTCTCTTTGTTAAATTAAAAAAAAAAGTCCCAGAAAATGATGATCAAAAGCTAATTTTATGATTTCTCAGACAGAATATCTTTAAGAAGCTTTTAAAACACCAATGAGAAACTTCTCAAAGAATAAATCCATGAAAATGGCCGTTTTCAAGTTTTCTAATGAAAAAAGTCCATAAGAATTCTAAAAGTTTGGCTTTTAACGTTATGAAACTTTTCATATTCTCACGAATTTTTTTTCTTCTGTGAGAACACATACGTTGTATCTTCCGCAAGAAAATAAAGGTGATAATTTTCTCACGATCATCATCGATGAGACATGTTGCTCCACGTGACAATGTTTCCATATTATTTTCTCCTTTCATTCTTCGCGTTCTCACAAGAAATTAAAATCTATATAAAAAAAAAAAAAACTATCAGAAAGTTCTCACAAGCTCATGTTTATGAGAATTTCTCATGGATACACCAACAAGAGTTTCGCCAAGTTTAATTTCTTGAAAAGATAATGACAATTAATATCCAATAAAATTTTTAAAAAAATAAATTGAAAATATCAATTCAAATAATCACAAATTTATGAGTTTCATCTTTTATAAAAAAATATGAGTTTCAATTACAAATAAAATATCTAAAATTTAAATATAACTCTCATTTTATAATTAGAATTATTATTTTCAATCGTATAAATTAATATTTGTAATTAATTTTTTAAAAGAATTTTCAAAAACCTAATATGTCATTAATTCTTTTTTAAATTACACCGTCTTTCTTTTGAGTTCCTTCCCAATTGCACATGTTTTCAAATTTCTTGCAGCTTTCTTTTCATTTGTTGCCTTTGTAAAAAAAAATTCATAATACCCTAAAGTTATTTCTAGAATTTTTATCAGAATTAAAAAAACAGTATATCTAATTAATTATTTAAAACTTCAAAATTTTTTTAACTTTATTCCTGTTTTATATACATACACTTTAAAAATAAAATATTCTAATATTTTACAACATTTTCAACATTTAATAGAGATAAAAAGATAAAAATAAATACTCCCTCTATCCAAAAATGTAAGGCATTTTTTGAGAAGTTATATGTTTAAAAATATAAAATATTTTTAGTCTTTCGAGGTATAATCATTATCTTTTTTTTAAAAGTGTTCCTATTAATAATGAGTTTATATTTATTATAAGGTGTTTTATAGGAGTATATATGAAATGATAGGATTAGTTAAAAAGTATATAACTACTTTATTAAGGAGTGAGATTCTGTTAAAAATGTCTTATATTTTTTAATGAAAAAAGTACAATAATTATTGAGATATTTTATAAATAAAATTAAAATAAACATTTTATTTTATAAATAAGATTAAAAGAATAAAGTTGTGTGGCTAGAAATTTTGTAATTTAGAATTTAAATGCTGTATAATAAAAAAAATGTTTTCTTTTTGTGGTTGTTAGGAGACACGGGCAGGTTTGTTAGTATATTAATTTTGGTCAAAATCACATTTCACTTTACACCTTTTGACCAGACATACGCTGACTAATCATACACGCACACTAAATGATCTTCTTATATCAAGTTTTTTTTTTTTTTTCCAACTATACTGTAGTGTAGTGACAATTTTTATGGTTCTTCGTACTACTCTCTCCAATTCTAAATCTAATTATAGAGAAAAATTTTAAAATCTTAATCTTAAATATAAGGTAAAGACGCAATAGTTACTTTTTTTCCCAACTTTGTTCCCTTTTAATTTTAACAAGTTGACTTGCTTTTAATTGTTATATGATAGTCTTCTCAAATTATAATATAAGTCATAATTAATTAATTCATTGTTTACAAACAATTTTAGTTAAAATTTTAAATTTTTAAAAATTCATTTTTTTTTTTCATTCATATCTTTATTAAATACTTTACATAAGAACTTTGATGATAATAATTAAAATTTTAATGCATAATTTTTTAAAAAAAATAATAAATGAAGTAAGAGTATAATTGAAAAAATAAATATAAAAATTATTTAATGTCATATATTTTAGACTAAGTAAATTTTTTTTAAAAAATGCCTTATGATCCAAAGTGAATATTATATTATGATCATTGATTTTAATGACAAGGGAAATTGACATGTCACATTTTTCAACAAGTTTAAGATATTAATTATTATTTTTAAAAATAATAAAATTAGTTAACTTCGCTATAATTAAAAAACTGAGGGAATATCTATTACATTACAGCTCCTTGTTTGTATCCTTCAGTGCGACCTCTCTTATTTTCTGGGGAAAACAAAGTGGCTGAGATATTTTGATCTATTACTGACAAAATTCAAGTCGAGGTCCTTCAATGTAAATATATAAAAAGTCATGATCTTTCATAGCAATCTTCGCCAAAGTTTATTGGTAAATATTCAGTTGACTCACATCTGCTACGCATTTTTCTGGGGAGAAGAGGAATTGGAATTAACCAAAAACAAAAAAGAAGAAGAAGGAACCAAATGAAATTAATTTGTAATATCCTCCACTACATGTATATATGGATATTTACATGACCTTTTATTGTCTACGGCCAAACTATGTTTTTGCAATAACGATATTTAAAAAACATAAATAAATAGTTAAAATGAATTTATCTTCTGATTACATGCAGCTCCCCTGAACGCTGATCAAAATGCTTAATCCATCTCTTACCGCCGGGTTTACCTCCGGTTACGGCGGAAACATGTGCCATGTCCAGCCCCTTCCCCACCGGAAGAAACACCGTCCGAACCACGCGCCGCCGCGATGATTCCTCATCAACCACGCTCCGCCACCTAAATCTCGAAGCCGTTCTTGAATACGCGTTCTTGCACACCAGAACCCCTCCTTTCCCGCTCAATTTCGCCGATCTGAATACTCTTGAGAAATCCTTCCGCCTAGAATCTACCACCAAGAAATCTATTCCTACTAAACCGTCCATCACTTCCTCCGCCTCGCCCACCAATATCTCCGGCAACGACACGCCGGCAGTCTCGCCCACGCTTTTCGCGTAGTCCGATCCCGACTGTTCGTCGGGAACCACACACACGTGCCGCCCACCGGTGTGCGATCTCGCTATCGCTAACCCTATGCTGGTGGCGATCGCTCCTCCCTGCGACCACGTCTCCACAATGAACTGTGCGTTCCAGCCGGCGGCCATCGCCGCCACAAGCTCCGCCACTCCTGATTCACAGAGAACCTGGCACTGCGAAATTAGACGAGAAATTAAACAAAACAGTCAGAGAAATTCAAATAGAACGGATCAGATCACAAGAATTGAAACTTACAGATTTGACCGTGTCGAGGTATGCTTTTGATGCAGAATCTGGAGACCATGCGAGTTTCATTTTTTTGTTCTCTCCTGAAGACGATAAATTGCTGAACTTGAATTTTGAAACTGTGTTTGGTGAAGATCAGTACTAAGGAGAAAAGAAGAGGGCCCTGGGCCTTTTTATAGGCGAATTTTGTAGGGGACCGAATTGGTGACACGTCATATACGTCGATCCGACGTGTGAGATTAAATCTGATAACTGTGGGGTTATGTCTGGCTTTGAGGTTGAAACTGTTGACCACATTTTCTCGGAACTTTCCTTCAGCGTGTTTCCGAAACATGTGAGAAACAATCCAACTTTTTCTTTCCATTTTCCTTTCTTGTGTGTGGCCCTCCCTGCACCTTCAATTTCGCATGAATTTATTTATTATATTTCTCAATAAATAATCCTCCGATTCATTTTATTCATCACCTTTTTAATAAGGTGAGATATTGACTTTATAAATTATTAAATTAATAATAATATTTTGTTTTAAAAGAAAAAAATGTTATATAATTTATTTACTTTTTAAAGATTATATTTGTAATTTTACTAAATTTTATTCTTTATATTTTTATTATATTAATATTGATGATGTTGATAAAAATAATTTATAAATAAAATTGAAGAAAGTATCATATAAATACCATGCCATTAAATTCATACCCATGTTGGTTGTCCTAGTGAATCAATCTCCTGGTCCGTTCTATCAAGATTTTTCGATGGAATTGACTGGTTGATTCCCCCCACCCCCTCTCCCTTTAGAGTTTCAAGTGACATTATTTTGAATATTTTTTAAAAATAGCATTTGTGCTTTACTAACTCTCTTTTGTTGAATTATGTATTGTATAGTTTATATATGAATGTTGTCTTTATTTATGGATTAATATCTTTTTTCATCTAAATATTATTCTTTTTGAGGTTATATATGAATATTTCTATATATTTTAATTAAATTATATTGCTTTAACTATATTGGATTGACCATGATTTAATCACAATTGGATTACAATTGATTCTTGAACTACTACTGTTTTGATCAGTTCAATATTCTATTTGATTTTAAATACCTTAACAACTACTCCTACTTTCTGTATTTTTCCATATTGATATAGTTTCCTTTTTCATAATCATAAAATTTTATTTTGTTTTCCAATAGATAATGGGGTAGTCCATTAAGTTATAAGCTATAACTACAAGAATGCTCTAGTATTTCTGGAGAAGCTTTTCTGTTTCATAGTATAGCTAGTTAAAGTATTTTTTGTTTTGTTGGGTAAACAAATTAACTGAAGAAAAATATCTCTTTTCATAAACCAAATTAAAAGAAGAAAAGAAAAACAGAAAAAATAAGTTAGAATAGTACAGATCACTTCAAGACTAGCATGGCTATGAAAAAGGAAGAGTCTAGAAGATGAAATAGTCAAATGGAGGACCAACTTGAGAAGAAGCGCGAGCGTTGTTGATAACTGTTGAAGTCATCGCGTCCGTCATCACATGAACGAGAAATCAGCCTCACATGTTTCATTAATCCAATAATAATAATAATAATAATAATAATAATAATAGCACATCTTGGAACCAGATGCGGAAGAAAAATGTCTCAACAAGTATATATTTTTTTTAAAAAAATAATTTTATAGAGAAGTCAACAAATATACTAATTTTTAACTTATAAAATGTATTATCATAATTTTAATATTTGTCTCTTTGCCAACCTGCCTCTCTCAAATGTAATAGTCTCATAATTATAAATATAAAAAGACATTAATTTCTTAGCAGATTTCCCATGGTCTTATATTAAAAAAAATGATAATTTACATATGATGAGCATGATTGTTTGTTTGTTTTATATATTTAAAAAATTATATATATGTGCGTGCGTGCGTGCATGTTGGAGCATTTTTAAATTCAAAATTGTTAAATTCATGAATTTAAATAAACTAATGACAGTAATATAAACTCATATAAAAAAATTATAAGAATTCACCTCTATTAATTATAGTCATTAAAATATGACTGTAATTTAATTTAAACATATTAAAAATATAAATCATTAAAATTAAACATATTTACATTGATAAATTATCATATACAAGGCATAAAAAATTTAAAATAGGGAAACTTATTTTTGATATTTTTGTTTTCTTTTTTATTAATATTAATTTTTGTATTTTAAGTTTTTTTTCTTTGAATGAAATTTTATAACTTTTATGAATTGAATTCCTCATAATATATACTTAACTCGCTCAACTAAAAAAATGACGAGCTTAACAAGTTTAACCAAGATTGCATTTAGTTTGAGTTTATAAATTAATTGACACAATTTTATAAGTTAGAAATATAAAAATAATAAATTCGGAGATAAATTCGGAAGTTTAACTGAGTTTGTATCTAATCTGAGTTTATGAGTGAATTGACATAATTTTATAAATTAAAAACATAAAAACATTAAACTCGTAGAGTCAACTCGAGAGTTTGACAATTATGATTAAATTTGATTGAAAATTTTTTTTTACCAAAAGCTCAACATTCTTACTTGTCACAAAACAGGTACTATAATTTTCCAAAAGCAACGAGATAAATGTCCATGTTAAAAACAAACTGGTTTCATCAACGAGCCTGTAGCCTAATCTCTCTTGTAAAATAAGAGGTTATGAGTTTAATTATGTAGTTTCAGCTATTCACACATGTTCCTTTAATATTTTTTAAGAATTAAAAGTCATTTTTATTTTTTTTATTTTATTCAAAAAGCTACTATAAGTTCTAAACTCAACTATGAGTTAATTTTATTATTTAACTTTAAAAAAATTTTTCCTTATCACAACACCTAATATTATTAAACTTGTGATACTAATCTATATATGAATATGATATTTAAATATTTAGCTACTGTAGTTTTCTCTGCTTATGGCTAAGATCATCATTGTGATGTGCAATCTTTATTCTTATCCATGTCATACATGATTCGATTGTGCGTCGTTTTGTTTGTTCCCATTGAACCTTGCGCAACAAATGGGGGCTGCTTGATATTTGAATCGATTATATTTGATTGGTAATTTTAAGTTTAATTAAATGTTGGCAAAATAATTTAATTAATAAAAAATATAACTTTGGCCTCGCCCGAGTTTTGCTATGAATTTATATTTTTTTAATATTTTTAATATTTTAAATTTTTATTTTTTAATATTTTAAATCTTTATAACACTGCTCAATAAGGGGTATACAATATCAAAAAATAAAAGCATTGAGATTTAGGACATAAAAAAAACTGTAAGAATTTATAATAAAATTTGAGTAAAATGTAGAAATTTAAAATTATGTTTTCTCTTTAATTAAACATAACAGATCAAAAAACTAATTAAACATAACTCGTCAAATTCATTTGGACAAGAATTTCATATTTGTTTGATTTTATTTTCCTTTTTTTTTTTTTTTGAATATGCACCGCTCACTCCGGAATTCAAGCTTGGCGGTGTGAGAATGACTCTCTGTCTGTGTCACTCTTTTATTGCCTGGTCTTTGGGTGGAATTGTAACATTTCGATTCCCATTTACTTCCCCAATTCAATATTATAATTTATAAGACATTTTTTTAAAATATTATTTTTAAAAATATAAATTATTTTAGGTTTTTGAGATGTAATGAATAATTTTTTAAAACACTCTTAATTATATTAAGGAGAGAAATTAATAATTTTTTTTAATAGAGATACCCTATTTACTCCAATCCTTAATATATTTAAGTGAACGTTAAAAGTTACTTCCGTTCTTAATACACGCAAAAGTTAGAATAATTAATATCTTTTTCAATCTTACACTTGATTTTGTAATATTGTTTGAATTTTTAAATAATAATTTATTATGGTTATTAATTGTAAAAAATGTAAAATTGGAAAGCACATGCACACACACACATATATACTCCCCCGTTTAAAAATATAAATTTTTTTTGAGGAGTTGAATGTTAAAAAATGTAAAGTAATTTTAGTCTTTCGAGATGTAATCATTGTTTTTTTTTAAAAAAAGTGCCCTATTGATAATGACTTTATATTATTATAGTGTATTTAATAAAGATAAATATGAAATAATATAGTTAGTTGAAAAGTAGATAACTACTTTATTGAGGGTGAGATTCAATTAAAAATATCTTATATTTTTTAACAGAGAGAGCAACAATTTTAAAAATCTGACTACCATTTCTTAAAATGTATAAAATTGATTAAGTTTGTCATGTATTAAGGAACTGAGGAAGTATTATATAAAAGTAAATGTAAAAAAATATATAATTTTAAAAATAATTAACTAACTCATTTAAAGATATATTTCAATTACAAATTACTTGTAATATTAAATGGAATGAGTATTACTTTTGTCCTAAAAGGTTTAAAGGATTTAAAAAAAAAAATCAAGAGCAATCTAGACATTATGGCAAATAGATATTTCTTTTTCGGTGCATTACTCAAATATTAAATTAGTCACATCGTTCGTGAATCAAAATTTATAAGTAATATATTTATATGAAAAATGCATCAAGTAAAAAATTAATAATAATAATGATTGCTTTTCAAATACCAACAAGTTTCTAAAATCATGAAGATCCAAATAATGCAAAGGGAATTAACTTAAACCATAGGGGTGCAAAATTAGTAGAAGCACATTTCGTCATTCATCTGCCTTCAACCAGCCAACACCTAACTACACGTCACAATAAATAATTGCTAAAATTAATTAAAGTTGGTATGAATAGTATGTGCTCTTGTTACCGACTAAAAATATTTTCAGACTTTGTGTATGCAATAATTTAATGAAAAAATGTTTACTTTTTGTCTTAATACCCCAAAAGAGATAATCTTGGCTTTTGATAGAGTTCACCACTTTTGCTAAAAAATAATTGCTGAAAGAACATGATATTCAATTTATGATCTTATTTATAATAAAAAAAATAGCAATCAAGAATTGATCGAAATTTACATCAATTAAAAATTAATTATTGTCAAAATTTAAATATATATTTATTAATTTATATTAGTTTTTTATAAATAAGTATCTATTTAAATTTTAACAATAATTTATTTAGGTTTGTTTATAAAAAATAT